GGCGCGATTTTGCGTCGCGGCATGCGGTGCACTCGAACGAGCTCCTTCGTCGGGCGTACAAATACATCGCACGCAACACGTCGCTTCCCTCGCGCGTCCGCCACACGGCGCAGCTGGAGCTGAACTCGTTTCCGAGCCGCTCGCGTCCCACCGCCGTGAAGGAGCGGTGCACTGCAACCGGCCGCGGCCGTGGTATCCTGACGGACTTTGGTCTGTGCCGGGTGCGTCCGTGTGCGACCCGGGAGCTGACATCCCCAGTATCAATTCCGCCAGAAGGCACTTGCTGGTGAGCTGCCGGGCGTCGAGAAGGCATCCTGGTAGAGAGCGCCTCGGTATTCGTGTGGGTGGCGGAGACGGGGTGGGGATGCATGTGACGTAGAGGGATGTGTGACGGAGGATGAATGGTTTTGGTGTAGGTAGTGGTGTTGCCACGAAAAGTATCCATCCTATCGTGAGTATCGACCAGCCACGCCTCTGGTGGGGGTCATCCTGATGCTGGGTGCGCTGGCCGAGGGGATTGCGCCCGGCGTGGCCCACATCTGCGTGGCCCACATTTGTTGCAGTGCTGCCACCGCCAAAGACACTCTCGCGGTCGCTTACCCCCGCCCCTCTCCACCCTACCGCCGCACACTGAAAAGAAGGCCAAAATCGACCAATTTATTATTCTAGGGGCAGTGTACCTGCGCCATTTGGAGGGCAGTGCGACACGCACGAAAAGGGTCCCACGGGGGCAACCCGCTTGGGTATATGCGGGCAGCGGCAAGCAAAAGACCGGCTCGTCAATGTGTGCGGCTCGTATCCGCTCTGCATCCACTACTTGTGCCGGGACGATGGCGACGCACGCTGCTCCCGCTGCTGCTCGGCCAAGCGGAACTGCTTCATAACGCCCGCGACGGAGTTCACGCGACGGTCGTCGCGACGGCGCATGTAGTACAGCTTCGCGCGACGTGTGCGCTGTAGGCCGCGCTTGCCCTTCCGTGCTTCGGCGCGCTGGATGACGCGGATTTGCTTGATCATAGGAGAGTACGCGTGGAAGCGGACTTCCACGCCTAGCTTGTGCGCAATAGCGCGCAGGACGAACGACGTTGCGACGCCCGCACGCTTGACAGCGATCATGACACCCGCAAATGTCGTCGTATTCGTGCGTGTCGGGGTCAGGTACGACTCGACCTGGACGATGGAGCCAGGCGGGATACAGTCCGGACTCCGACGCGAGAAGAGACGCGCGATCTCATCCGCCGGGTCAAGTTCCTCGCACAGCCCCGCATCCACACGCCGCATGACTCCGCGGCTCGGGTACTTTGACTCCGGCGGCGGTGTCCGGAGACCGTCTGCGCGGATCGGCGGTAGGCCGCGCGTAATTACGTTGCGCGCAAACGGATAGTGGGGGGAGGCAGCCGACGGGGGTTCCCCCTCGTGTGCGCGCGCCGACGACGCGAACGCGCGCGACACACGCACGGGCACCGTGCGCACACCACAGAGCGGCGGCGCCGGCAACAGCCCGTCTCGCAGAAGCCCACGCAGCATGGCAGTTTCGAGATAGGACAGCCGCTGGGCGCGTTTTCTTTACGTGAGAATCCCGAAAATAAGATCGTCACATGCGCGATGGGGCGGGGGCACGAGTGCGCGGAGAGCACGACTGACATCGACGAGCGGAGACAGGATGGCAGCGCGGAAGCTGCAGAGTGCGTCGGCAAGCGGCGCGGCGGGGACTCACACGCGCAGCGGAGATTGACCGCACGTTGAAGAAGGTCGCGGAGGGCGTCGAGCTTTTCGAGGGCCTGCACGATAAACTGCAGTCGTCGACGAACCAGGGCCAGAAGGAGAAGCTTGAGGCGGACCTCAAGACGCAGATCAAGAAGCTGCAGCGCCTCCGCGACCAGATCAAGACATGGCTACAGAGCAATGACATCAAGGACAAGAAGCCACTGCTAGATAACCGGCGGCTCATTGAGACGGTGCGTGCGCGGCACCGGCGCCACTGACAGCAGCAAATGGAGCGGTTTAAGGCATGCGAAAAGGAGATGAAGACGAAGGCGTTTTCGAAAGAGGGTCTCATTGCGGCCGCGCGGCTCGACCCGAGCGAGAAGGCGAAAGTCGACATGGCGCACTGGCTCACCGGCATGGTCGACGAGCTCTCGCGGCAGATCGAGTCGACGGAGGCGGAGATCGAGCAGGCGCTTGCAACGACGAAGAAGAGCAAGAAGTCCTCTTCGAAGGAGGACCATCTCAGCGAATTGGAGCACCAGAATGCGCGGCGCGACTGGCATATATCACGGCTCGAGATCTTGCTCCGGATGATGGAGAACGGGACGCTCGAGGTGGACCGCATCAGTGATATCAAGGAGGACATCGCGTACTTTGTCGAGAGTAATGGGGTGCGTATGCATGCAGCGCGCGTGTGCTCACGCGCCAGGACGAGGAGTTCGAGGAGGACGACGGGATCTACGACGAGTTTAATCTCGACGAGGAGGAGGAGGCCTTTGGCATCCGGGACAACGAAGACGGCTCCCCCATCGCGGACGCCGCGGACGAGTCCTCCTCGATGCCCGACGAGCCGCCGGCCGCGGCGCGGTCCCCGCCCGCGGCGGCGAAGGAGGCCGTGCGCCCGGCCGAGAACGCGAAGAAAGAGGAGCTGCCAGCGAAGCCAAAAGAGGACACGCCGCCGGCAAAGAAGCAAGCGGGGAAGAAAGCAGCCGCCGTCGAGACGAAGGAGCGCGTCGTCCTGTCGACCAACTTTGACCAGGGCAAAGTGCAGCCGGCCGTGTCTCCGACCCTGCCACAGAACAAGACGCCGAATGCGACACTACCTCCCATCCGCTATGCGACGGCAGCCGCGGCCGCAGTCGCCGGCACAACGTCCGCGGGTGACGCTCCAGCCGTTGCCGCGGATGCGCCGTCCGACGGAGACGGCGCGGCGGATGCGCCCGCGCCCGCGGACGCAGCGCCGGACAGCGAGGTCGCGAAGACTGCGGCGCCACGCGCTCCGGGCGATGCGCGGCTGCCGGACTCGCTCTCGGACCTCGTCGCGTCGTTCGAATCGGCAAAGCAGAAGTCGCTCCTGCGCGACACGAACATGTCGCAGATGCAGCGGACGCTGGACACCAGCTATGCGGGCGGCGTGCCGGAGCCCGTGGACTCGGAGAGCCCGAAGTACTACGTGCCCAAGGACCCCTTTTTGACGCCTATGTACTACCCCCAAACCCCTGCGTCCATCTTTGACAACCCGGCGCTGTATTCCAAGTTTGACGTTGACACGCTCTTCTTCATCTTCTACTACCGGCAGGGGACATACCACCAGTACCTTGCCGCACGCGAGCTCAAGAAGCAGTCCTGGCGCTTCCACAAGCAGTACCTTACCTGGTTCCAGCGGCACTCCGAGCCGCAGGCCATTACCGATGAGTATGAGCAAGGGGCCTATGTGTATTTTGATTGGGAGGGCTCCTGGTGCCAGCGGCGGAAGGGCGACTTTCGGTTTGAGTACCGGTGGCTGGAGGACAACTAGGATGTAGCGCTTATACCACCAATGCTTGAACGCAATGTCCAGGATATCTAGGATGTAGCGCCTATACCACTAGTGTTTGAACACAATGTCCAGCGAGGTTGTGCGCGGAGCGCCAGGCTCGCGGCCGGGTAAATGGGCGTCGGTACGCCCGCAGAAGGCGCAGGGGGGCAGAAGTGGAAGGAGGGGGGAGGAGCAGAAGTGAGAGGGAAGAAGAGCGGCAGACGTGAGAGGGAGCAGGGGAGATGGAGAGGGAGCAAAATTGGTAGCGTGCAGGGGGCGCAGAAACCGTACGGCGAAAACCCGGCTGGTCTTCCACCTGAAAGCCACCTACCAATCCGCCTGGCGCCGCCCAACAGAGCGATGTCCTGCCCGCATTCCTATGTTCGTGTCGGCTGTACGCCTCGGGCGCGCGCGTTCGCCAGTATGGACGTTGCCTTTTCGCTCACCCACCCCTCCTTCCCCTTCCCACTGCGTCTGTGTGCCACGTCTGTGACGACCGTGTGGGAACACACTTTTCCATGCGTTCCCACACACCGCTCAGATGTCCAAGGGGCCGTTGTGGTGCTCACTAAGAATGCGTGCGAGCCGCATGATGGAGGCGAACAGACCTGTGCTCGCCTCGAAGAGCTCCTTGTCTGCTGTCGCTGCGGCTGCCTCGAAAGCGGTGAAGCCCAGATCACCCCACAGACACACACGCTCGATGCGCAGCCAACGGAGGCGCCGCTGTAAGAAGTGATAGTCCTCCTTTTCAAGGTGCAGCGCAGCGCCATCCAAGGCCGCATAACTCTCCGCGCGCCGCCGGCGCACGACGACGATCTGCAGCAGGATTGCCACGAGCGACACATACACCCCGACACGCTCGAGGCCTTGTCGCTGTCGCACTGCAGTCCAGGAGTGCCGCGTGCGTCTGGTGAACCCGAGCGCTTGCCAGAAGAGGCCCGTTCCGGTGAGAAATGCAAGAACGTCACAGGCCTCGCCGGCGTACCCGACGACGTCCGCAAGCGCCGCGAGCCGCGCGGTGCGCTCGGGCGCATCCTCTGTGCTGTCCTTTGTGAAGAGTCGCCCCCGCACGTACGAGCCGCCGGCGCGCGTGATGTGCGCGAGGATCGCAAGGCGTCGCACATTGGCGAGCGCCTCCGACGACACCATGAAGCACTTGCTGGCCGCACGGCGTCGGCGGCGCGGCATTGTGCGCGAGGCTACGAACGCGACCGGGTGCATCAGTGCCGAGGCCGCGGTGCGCGGCGGGGGCACGCGAAACCGCGCATACAGGTAGAGGAAAACGAAGCGGAGCACTTGCTGTCGGTAAGCGCCGCCGCCGCCGCTGCGCGCACGAGCGTGTTGTCCGTGGTATCCCAAGTGGCAAGCTCGCTCCAGCGCATCGGGGCTCCGCTGCGCGAGGCCGCCGGCACGAAAACGAAAGACCCACACGCCACGGGACTTGACCGGCCCTCCTGTGGCGCGGCCATGGCGGCGACGTAGGATGCCAAAAGATTGCCCGCACCCAGATTTGAACTAGGGACCCTCTCATCAACCCGCCGAAGCTAGAGTACGAGTGAGAAATAATAACCACTATACTATACGGGCAACTTGTTATGGGCCCCGGTGACCGCCGGGGTGATGAGGGGAAACAAGGCGCCGAGGTGCGGCGGGCGGCGCGTGCTTCGGTGCACTCCTACGCCGCCGTCCTACAGCCGTACGCCGGCAGGGCGGTTGTCGTGTTCTACGGGTGGTATTCGTGCGGGGCGATGGGAGAGGAAGAAAAGAAAAGGCCTTCCTTGGCTCTCTCTCTGTCAGAGGCGGGGCGTGGGAGGCCTCGGTAGGCTCTCTCACTGCCACTGGAGTGAGGAGGGGGGGCCTTTTTTTTGGCTTTTTGTCTGCCACAAGGGGGGGAGGCCTTTATAGGTTTTCTTTCTCGTCCAAGGTTTACAAGCTTTCTCTCCCGTGTTGTTCGCCGCGTTGCTACGGTCGCCTTGCCTCTCTTCTCGCCTCTTCCCTCGCTTCTCCCCTCGCCTCTCCCCTCGCCTCTTCCTTCGTCTCTCTTCTCGCCTCTCCTCTCGCCTTTCCCCTCTCCTCTCCTCGCGCCTCTTCTCGCACCCCCTTTCTCCCCCTTCCCCCCCACCTCCCCGCCACCATGAGAAATACGAATTATGCGGCTACGAAATAGGGATACGCCTTGCCGCGATGCGCCGCGCCACGAATCACTGCGCATCTCCCGCAGCGCGTGCGGGAACAACCTCGACGAGGTTTCCGTCGCCCGACGAGTCCATCGCCGTGTCCAGCACGGCAGCCATATCTCCTTCTTCGCTCAACGGCACGCAAACGTCCAGCATCGGCGGCTGCTCGGAGACCGGGTGAGATTCCACAGAGAGCGCTGAGAACGGGCGTGGATTAAGCTCAGAGTCCGACTTGGGGGAGTGCAACGAGGACTTCATCGATGGCTGCGGCAGGACGAGCGTAGACAGGAGCGGAAGCCGCGTCGGCGCCTCTGGCTCCGCTGGCTCCGCATCCGCCGACGTGTCTGTGCCCACCGCCGGCGAGCCGTCGAGAAACACGTCCGCAGCGGGGCGCGTCGCATTTGTAAAGAGGCGGCCGCGCCACTGCACCATGGCCATGAACATGGCGCCCGAGATCTGCAGCGTCGGCGCGAGGACGAGCGTCAGGTTGGAGAGCGGCTGCCGTGTGAGATGGAAGGGGGAAGGCGGAGGCGGAAAGGGGGAGAGAAGGGAGGGGGCAAGGCGACGGGGGACAGAGACGGGAGGGGGCAAGGCGGCGGGAGGAGAGACGGCAGCGAGAACAGACGCCAGGGGCAAGACGACAGGAGAAAAACGCAGGAAAAAGCCAAAGGCGCAAATTCCACAATACACACCATTTTCGTCTTCGCGACGTTCTCCGGCTCCGATAGCAGGCCGAGATGCTCAGCCATCTCGCGCAGCAGGTACCACTGCGCGCAGGGGATGCGCCGCATGAGCGGCGCAAGCTGCTCGATAGCCGCGTCCGCCTGCTGGTCGCCGCCGGGCAGCTCACGGGAGCCGAGCGCGAGGGCCTTCTTGTAGCTGAGATCCAGTGTCGCGTCGCTGCGCATGGGCGAGGGGACGGTGCGTGTGGAGGACGTGTCGGAGCGCGCATCGTCTGGAGGCGACACACGCTCGGCACCGCAGACGCGGTCGAAGCCAGCGACCACGTCCGGGGGGGCGAGCCGCTCCGGCAGCTCGCGCAGATACATTTTCAGCACGCTGCACACCGAGTGCACGTCGAGGTCCGCGGGCGAGATCACCGCGAGATCCAGGTCCATGCCCGGCTGGTCCCAGAAGGCACGCAGGCGCGAGGAATGCGAGCTGCGCCCCGAGATGCGGTACAGACCCTCTTCTTCGATGCCCCACTTTTCCAGGCTCTCGATGCACCGCGTGACGAGCCGCGGCAAGCACTGCTGCTGCGCCTCGCGGCGCGTCAGGAGTGGCGGGCGCTCCGCAGGCGGCGGGCGCGCCGCGGCCGACGGCACGTCGGCCAGGTGCGGGGAGCTGCGCATCGGCGGCGTGCGCGCGCCGCCGGAAGCGCCTGGCCCCCTTGTCTCCTCGCACGCGCGCGCATCGTCCGCGGGCATCTGGATGCGCGTCAGCGCGACGGCCTGGCGCAGCGGGAGGCCGAACACGCCGCTGCTGCGCACGTCGTCCGTGCGCGTGCCGAGGCGCGGACTGAAGCGGAGCGACTGCATGCTCGTCGACGTCGACAGCACCGACGGGGAGCGCAGGCCCCGCAGCCTGCTGCGCGGCGCGCTGGACGACGGCATGGCGGTTGCCGACGACTCGAGCCAGTCGAGCCACACACGCGTCGATGTCTGCTTCGCAGGCGACGACGTGCGCGCATACGACTCGCGCGGCACGCTGAGCGGGCTCGCAAAGATGGAGCGCCGCCGCGACGGGTCCGCGCGCGCGCCGTCTCGGCGGACGGCGCCCGCATTCGGCGCGCGCCAGCCGCGCATCATGTCCCAGCCGCGCCGCCCAATCGCGCCGAGGATGGAGCCCTCCCCCTCCCCCGTGGCCGTCGGCGTCTGTGCGCGCTCCGGCATCGTTTCCGTGGTGCAGGGCTGCGGCAGATCCGCCACGCTCACGCTCGTCGGCAGCCGCGCGTCGTCCGCCACGAAGCGCGGCGTGGACAGCGCCACGTGCTTTGCGGTGCGCGGGGACGGGGGGGGTTGTACGGAGAGCGCTGCAGCGCCCTCCCTCGGTGCCGCGGTGGCCTCCCACGGCACCGCCGTTCCCGGCCGCGGCGGAAGCGCCCCTGCGGCGGTCCTCGGTGGCGCCGGAGGCGCTCCCGCGTCCGCAGGCGCGTCCGCAGGTGTCCATCCGTCGCGCCCCTCCCGCCCGTCGCGCTCCTGCTCCTGCGGCCGCTCCGCGCTGCCGGGAGACGGCGGGTGCACTGGGCGCGCTGACGGGGCTGCAGCGCCGTCTATCGGCGGCTCCGCGACGCGGTCACCCCACGCCGCCGTGCCTTCTGTGGGCGGTGGGCGCTCCCCGTCGATGCGCGGGAGCCACGACATGGCGGAGCTCGTGATGCACTCTGATACGGGCATCTTAGCCCGTGTCGTCGTTGTGTAGTCGCCCGCGGGCTGCGGCGGGTGCGCGGGATTTTGCTCGACGGGCCCCTCGAGCGCTGCCGCTGCGGCCTCCCGCGCGGCGGAGCGGTGCGCGTCGCGGGAGGCCGGCGAGCTGCTCGCGTCGCTGGCGTCCGAGCGGTAGTCGTCCGCGGGCGCCGTCGTCACTATTCCCGGCAGCGAGATGCGGCGCGACTCTTCCGTGTACAGCAGGCGTGGCAGAGACGGTGGTCCCGCGGGCAGCGGCGGTGCAGCGGAGTGTGGCGTAGGCGCCCCAGGGGACGCCGCTGTCACGCTTGGTGCTGTCGGCTGGGGCGGCGTGCCGCGCGCGGACCACGCGCGTGTAGCGGCCGGCCCGGCAGTGGCGTCCGCCCCGGCCGCCGCGGGAGCCCCGGTATCCGCCGCGGTATCCGCCGCGGCATCCGCTGCGGCATCCCCCCCGGGCGCCGCCGCGGCATCTTCAGCCCCGGCGGGAACGTCCACAGAGATCGGCGTGCTGCAGAGCGCGGACGCATCGACCGCGGCGTCCTTGCCGCCTGGCGACGCGTCGCCGCCGCTGTCGCTGCGCTGCGCGGGCGTTATGATCGAGGCAACGCTGCGGGAGCCCTTCTCAAACGACTGGCGCAGCGTGGACAGCGACGGGCGCGATGACGTGCTCGGCGTGCTGTGCGGCGACGAGGGCTCGGCGCGGTCGCCCAGTGCGTCCGCGCCACTGCGGTTGGACAGGCGGGAGCCCATGCGGATGTGGCGCAGGCGCGTCAGGCGCTGGAGCGCGCCACTCGGCGAGGCGCCGTCGCCCGCATCGCCGCCGCGGCCGAATGACGACGCGGAGATGGAGTTGTTCGACGGCTCACGCGCAAGCGCGCCGCCGTCGGAGTGGTCGGACGCATGCTCCGAGCCCGTACGCCCGAAGCGCGGGAAAAAGCGTGACATCCGTCAAGAGGGGGCTGTGTTGAGGTGCGGTGGCGCGTTGCGGCAGTCACGCAGATGGCTACGTCCAGCGCCGCGTAGTGGCTGCAGGGGCCTCGGCACCGTGGCGTCCGCAGTGCAGTGACTCGTGCGTAGACCAGCTCGTCAGGGCGCCGCGCAACGTGCCTCGGGGGTTTGCGCGCGCCCGTCCAACCCGGCGCCCCTCAGCCAATCGCCGGGCTCGGCACGTCCACAGGCACGTGGCCGCGGCTGCGCGCGGCACGTGACGTACCGTGGCGACCGTCGCGCGGTGACGCTGTGTCCTGTGCATGGCCGAGTTCCAGAAGGAGTCGCTCTCGCTCGCGGAGACGAACCGCGTGCGCACCGCGCTCGGGCTCAGGCCGCTTGAGGAGGCGGCGGCGCCGGAGGCGGCGGCGGCGGGGCCTGCGCCGACGTCGCAGGTGGCGCAGGATGCCGTGTCGGAGCGCAACTACGCGGAGCACCGCGCGGCGGAACGGGCGACGCAGAACGCTGCGGCTCTCCGCGAGCGCATTTCCAAGGCGCAGAACCAGCGCGACCTGCGGCGCCAGCTGCGCGGTGCGACGCTCGGTGACGCGGGTGCAGCGGCGGGCACGTCAGCGCGACAGTGGGTCAAGGACGCGTCGCGCCGCGCTAAGGAGAACGCGGCGCGGCGCCAGCGCGAGCTCGAGGAGGAGGAGAGCGCGGTGCAGCAGCAGTACCGCGCGTCCGAACTGGCGGGCATCCGTGTCGCGCACGAGCTCGACGACTTCACCGGCGACGAGCGCATCCTGACGCTGCGTGATGCGGACGTGCTCGACGATGCAGACGATGAGCTTGTCGAGGTCGGCATGGACCAGCGGGAGCGCGACCGGCTAAACCAGGAGCGCAAGAAGGGCACTAACGCGTACACGGGCCTCGACGACGACGAGTTCGACGACGACGGCGCGCCGCACGGCGCCGTCCTCAGCAAGTACGACTCCGTCGAGGACCTCGACGGCCGCCACAAGGCGCAGTCGCGCGACGCCGGCTTCCGCATCGGGGGTGGGGGAGGCGCCGGGGAAGC